GCTATGTATGTATGTATGTACGTAGATCCCTCCGTTTACGGAGCACCCATCGAGAGCTGCGACTGTACAGTGGAATCCGTGTAGTGACACTCCCTATCGGGATTAATGGCGATGTGTCACTAATGTACATTTGTTGACCATTAAAATACATGCTTTGCTCATCAACATTGATTTTTTTGTTAACTGAATAAAACAAGATGAAGATCTCAAATGTTTAACTTTCTCTTTTTATCTACTGCATTCACTTCCATTGCAAGTACAATAAACAGTAATCTTAAGAATGAACAGCATGATATAGTTACAACATGTAAAATTTCTCTCTCAATTTGATGTTTTTAATCACTGTTTCATAATTCTGCTTCAATGTTATTTTGCACTGCTCTTCCAGTGCATGTGATATCACATATCTTCGCCAACTTGTTTCTGAAAAATAAAAGGTTGATTATAACACTGTCAGATTTCAATGTTATCATGTTTGTTAAAGTCCAATAATAAGGTCAACTATAGGTCAACCACAACATAATATGTATAGTGTACATGCATTGCTAAAGGTGGTATTACGTAAATAAAGGTTCATATTATCATGGAGAAAAATGAAAAAAGAATGGAATAATCATTTATGGGTTACCTACTTGAAAACTGATCTAATACGATTGGGAGAAAAATTTTAGCGCCCCAAGTCTGGGTTGGCAAATTTCCATGTTTTCAATATAGGCTGCACTCTGACATTCTTAAATTGTTTTGTTATAAATTAGGCCGTTAACTTTTCTAAATTGAATTGTTTCATATTTTTCATGTCTTCGTCTTTTGTAGCCGACTATACGGTATGGGTTTTCTCATTGTTGAAGGCTGCACAGTTGCCTATGATTGTTAATATCCACTTCATCTAAAATTTGGTGGGTAGTTGTCTCATTGGCAATCATACAACATTTCATTATTTTATACAGCAGTTTAAATATTTTAAAAAAGTATTCTTGTTTTTGAATTTTTCATTATTTGTAACAGTGGCAATTCTGATTAAATTATCATTTCAATCTGTAATCCAGTTTCAGAGAGGGAGATCTTTGTTTAGATTTCCTTTAGGTTCATATGTTAAACTATGTCCTGATGTGACACTCATCTTTGGATCGGCACCAAAACAAAACATAATCTGATTATTCGAGCACAATATCAATGCAATCTGTCAAACAGTTAACTGAGAGGTTTTGTGTACGGATATGTACTTCCCATAGGATTCTTTGTTAACCATATTGACATCTTTCAATTGTTGAATGCTGCTCTCTATTCTTTTGAATTAATCGTTGTTGGTTTGTTGTCTCATGAGCGCACTACAACATTTCATGTTATTGAAATAAAATAATACGGACAAACTGAAAATACTTACCTAAAAAAATCCTAATTTCTTACCAGTCTCTTCTCGATCTTCTTTATTATCTGTGCATTACAGTTTTTAGTTGTTGATCTATGCCTTTATTTTCCTCATAGACTTATTATTTTTGTTCTGGTGGGATCCATTTTTGGAAACCTATAACAATAGATACTGCATCAAATATTTTGCATCAATTTGTAAAAAGTTGTTATTCCCAACATGCTTTTTATGGTATTATTTATGAACCTAATACTTTATAAATTGTCATTTGAAAAAGTACATCATGAGAGATAGATTGTATCGAAGTGTTACAAAGTTCTGTCAAGTGGTTAATGAGCAATTGATGACACGTGGGACATAAGGGCAAGAGGACAGACTCCCCCATCATTAAATACATGTAACATACCCTTTAGCAGGTGGGTTAAGTCGCCACATACACGAACAGGAATAAAAGTGCCTGTCCTAAATCAGGAATCTTTGGGAAATAGTGGTCAATTGAAATATTATAACACATTTATATAACAAGAGTGTCCACGCTGAAATGTCATGCCTGCTTTACTGACCATGCACTATTTCATTTGAAAGTTTAATGCATAAAAGTACCACAGAAACTTGACATGTTCAATGATCCATGACAATGAAATTAGAGTCTGTATGACAGTCAATTCTATAATCATAGATAGGACAGTCCATATATCACGATCATGACCAGTTTTTCAATAACTATTATATAATTAAATTGTTTGGAACATGCATGTAATATTTGCCACTGGACATTAAGCACATTTCGAATACATGTATTGTAAGTACTTTATGAATGTGTTAGTATTTTTGAGGACTCTCACTGACTCAGTAGGATTATTTTTATATAATGGAATTATCCTCTTGAAATAAAAGATTATTTATACGAAATTTTGTTCAATAATTATGTGTCGGATTATTAGGGTGTCGGTTCATTGGGTCGTCGGACTTTTGGGGTGTCGGACTAATGGAGCCTTGAACCGACATAAATTCAATCATTGACCAATAAAAAAAAATATATTTCTACAAAGTGTATGTACATGATCTCTTCATATAAATTTCACATGCAGTTTCCCTTGTAGCCGTATGAAAACCAGGACAAGACCGGTTCAAACAGGAAGATTAAGAAAGCAAAGAAAACTGTGCACTTTATAAAAGGGTCTGGATGGGGTTTCTTCATTTCTGTATTCTTTAATATTTTATACCATTTTCACTATTTATTATAAATTTTGCCTGTTATTCTCTTTTCTTTATATTTAAGCACCACATTATTCTCTATTCTTTATGGCTACTTCATAAAGACAACAAAGGGACTGATATGAAAGCCTGCCATTCTAAAGTTGCATTAAATCCGTGAAAAAAGAAGGGACATTGGATAATTGTCTGTTTTCTGTTTCTTGGTCTTTTCTCACTTGCCGTTGGAGGCAAAATTTATGTCTCTTTAGTTTGTATCTTATTATAAAAGAATATAGGTAAAAAATATAATCCCGCTAACATGTTTAACACCGCCACACTCTGTATGTATGTGACTGTCCCAAGTCAGGAGCCTGTAATTCTGTGGTTGTCGTTTGTTGGTGTGTTACATATTTGTTTTTTGTTCATTTTTTTTGTACATAAATTAGGCTGTTAGTTTTTTCGTTTGAATTGTTTTACATTTGTCATTTCGGGGCCTTTTATAGCTGACTATGCGGTATGGGCTTTGATCATTGTTGATGGCCGTACGGTGACCTATAGTTGTTAATTTCTGTGTCATTTGGTCTCTTGTGTAGAGTTGTTTCATTGGCAATCATACCACATCTTCTTTTTTATAAACAAATATATGCAAGTCTAACGTTCTGTTACCCCTTATGGAACCCGTTTGAACTAAATTCCAAAGGAAAGACATTTTTTGACATAATAATTTTTTTGTCTTACACATAAATGTCAACATGCATGTGAACCAAATGTACACATAATTGTTGTTTGTTTTAAAAGGCAATTTGGGTGAATACAGTTGTGAATTTGACTGCATACGTCTGACGTTAACGGAATCAAAAAGGTAGACTCTAAGGTAATTTTATACTGTAACTTTATGTGCTAAACCGTTATATAATCCAGATGACACTGAGGAAAAAATCATTCATTGACATTGTTAATATTCTATTCTTTTCTTTTTTTTTATGTATTTTTCTTAATAATTACATGCATGAAGTGTGTATTTATGTTCAGAAAAATAATTAGAGTGAGATGCACATATTCGCAGGGGACACAATTTCGCCGTTTTATGATTTTGAGGTGTAAAAACTTCAAAGGATGGATGAAATGGAAGAAATGTGACGGTAAATTATATTTTTATTACAAATATGATTATTTTTTAAACTTAGACAAAATTTTGGCACTTACCGCAAAGGACCAAAAAAACGTACAACGTTTTGATAAATATTGTTTTAAGCTGCAGTTATGTGGTTTTAAATAGATGTGTAAAAATGGCGAATATGTGTCCCCCTTTGACAAAACATCAGGAAATTTCAAATTGCCTTTAATCTAACTTTTTAGATGAATTTTTTTCAAAGAAACACGTTTTCAAGCTAAGAATATTTTTCTTTTGATGTTATCTTCATATAGAAATATCAGTATACTTCAAAAACATAAATACCTGAACATAAACTGCAGAAAACATGGAAAATTATGGCGAAAATGAGCACCCAACTCTATTGACTTAGCACTAAAAAAGTGCTTTGAAATAGGATCAAATAGGCCTAGTTTTTTGTCGAAATAGAAGACAAAATCTAAAAAATTATATCAGGATGTTCACAAAAAAAACCGAGTAAAAGTATGATTTCTTAAGTTTGTAAAACTTACATGAACAATAGCAATTCGTAGACGATTCGAAAAGGACCCTCCATCTCTGACTTGTCGTGGAAATCGTCTGTTTCTATAACTTTAAGACTTTTTGCAAGTGGCTTGTAGAACAATATTTTCTCTGTCTCAAAATCTTGCCGCCCTCTTGCTGAGTTTTTTTCTTGCTTTGTCGCGCCAAAAGCATATTGACGTTTCATATCTGTGACGTTGCAAAACTTGTGCCTCGCTGTAGAACAGCGCTTTCCCGCCGTCCATAATTTTTCCCGCGTCAATGGAGTAGTAATTATGAAAAGCGATGTAAAAGTAATTTTATGAAAACTATTGCTCTAAGATTGTTATAAACGATGTTTTTGATACAACATTATTTAAAAATACAATTTTTAACCTTGAAATATAGTTGGTTTTTTTTTATCTTTCTTGTCTTTATAAAAAAAAATGAAAATAATATACCCATTGCTACTAGCTTTATAAGCGCTTTTGTTTTATCTTTTTCAAGTGAAATGCATAACTGATTCTTAACCAAGTTGGCAAGTACATGTATTTCATGCAATATTTAGGACGTCTGAAATTTAATGTACAATAAATCTGTTGCTCAGTGGGTCCTACAAAGTAAAAGATCTGTGATGAATGGCTCAAAATTGAGATTTTGCCAAGTGCAGGGAAAGGATGATTTGTAGGATAGGAAAAAAATCATTGGGTTACCTACTTAGGGAGCTACCATTTGATTTTTATGGGAGGGGGAGGGGGAGGGGGGGGGGGAGGGGGGGGCTAGGATGAAAAATTTTGTTCTGCATTTTTTTTTAGTTGTAATCTCTGTCCTGCCTTTTTATTTTTCACTCTATTCGGTCCTGCCTTTTTTTAAGTTTATCCTGACTTTTTTTTACCTAAATTGTCATCCCGACTTTTTTTTTTTTGCAAGTGTCTCATCCTGCCTTTTTTTTACTCAAAACTGCTGTCTGCCTATTTTTTTCAAATTTCATCCTAGACCCCATAAAAATCAAATGGTAGCTCCCTTATTTAGCATCCCCATTTCGAATGAAAATAAATATTTTTTATATTAATGCTTCAATGATGAAACGGGAATAAAATGTATTGAAATATCGTTTGGCAGTACAAGTATATCGGGTAACATTTATGTACTTTTACAAAAAAAATCTTCACTGAGAATTCAATCGCGGCATTTGAGTCCTAAAGAAATTTTCCAGTTCTCTTAACTAAAGCGTGTATTGTGTATATTAATATTTCGCGTAATCAAGTATAACAGTTACCTTTTCTATGATTATTTATTAGGAATGCGATTATTATATGAGATATTCTGATTGAAAGATGTATGAAAAAAAACTGACGTTTAACAAATTTCTCGAAAATACTAGTATGCAACATTTTACATGAAAATGACGAACTAGATAATAAGTAAACACGTTAAATAAGTTGGTATTACAGTACTCACAAGCTTATGATCCTGTATCATTTTTTGACATCCGTTTTAAGTATACAAAGAATGCATTTAATTCAGTTTGCTTCATGACCTTCATTCCCGCCAAAATCGTCCTTTTGGCGCCGTCTTTTGACATTGTCAGTGCTTCTCAGTATTGTGACGTTACTATGGACCTTTGACGTTCTACACAATCAACAAGATTTGTGTGTAGAAGCGAAGCCGTAAATGTCCCTTTGGCAGCAAGAGGGTTAATATTGAACATAGTATTACAATTGCCTACGTTTATGTGATTGGATTTCATTACGTCATTCATTGTTTACAAACGTTATTTTTGCACTCGCACTAACATTTCAACAAGTCAACAGTTCAAACTTCTTCTGGACAAAAGGTATGGTATATATTGAATATTTTAAAACTGAGAAAATTGTCGCATGCCGCATGGCTAATTTAAAACACATATCCTAAGTAGGAGAATACGCGTTACACATTGGCGGATCTAGGGAGGTCCCTTTTATGGGACGATCAATGAATTTGAATTTGAATTTGAATGGGGACATATAGATGAACCCCCCCCACCCCCCCCCCCCCCCCCCGCCCGCCCGCCCCTAACCTTTTATCCAGTGTTGGGAAACCTCTTTTAAAAAATGGCTGGATCCGCACCTGATTACAGAACTTTCTGTAAATGCCAAAATTAATGCCATGGCATTTGTAAAATATTAATGGAGACGCTAAATCGTGGGTTGTTTTGAATATTCATATTCATTACTACTTGACCAAACGTTATGAAATAATATCAATCAATAATTGATATTTGAGAATGATAAATCCTGAATGTTTCTGAACATATGATAAGGAAAAGGGGGTGGGCATCGGCGGATCCAGGGGGAGGGGTCCGAGGGTTGGAACCCCCTTTTTTTTGGCGATTAATGCATTTGAAAGGGAAAATAAATTTGGGAACCCTATCTCCTGATTTGGATCCCCTTTTTAAAAATTGCTGGATCCGACCGACACATGCTCATTTCCTCAAATCCTGTGTTTTTGTCACACAGTATTTTTTTCCGATCTTTTCCCACTTCCCACTTCTTTCTCTTCTGTCCCGATCCCACTTGTTCCTATTTTGACCGGGTTTTTTTTTTTTTACCGATGCTTCATTTATTTGTGATACATTTTGATATTAGTCCACCATTGTCCCAGGTGCCAACAAACTTATATAATCCCGCCACATTGACTGCTATATATTGTTTATTATTTTTCTCGTTTGAAATGTTTTACAATAACATTTTAGTTACTTTTAGATTTTTTTATTCAGCCATGCTGGATCTATGCGATCACTCTGGTTTTGGAGATGGTGCAAAATACTAAGTTGAAGACATATCATGAAACTAATTATTTATGTTTTTATGACTTGCAGAAACTTTCTTTACCATTTTAATCATCAACTGCAAACTTTTGACACGTTATAATTATTATAAAGAGCACATAAATAGACTGATGGTTAAAGCTACATGTGCATGAAATATTTGTCACTGGCAAACACCAATACTTCGAGGTTGATGGATTTAATTATCATATTTTGCTTTTTTTATTTAGGAATAAATTCTCAGAATGATTAACAGCATAGAAGACAGCTGCTGAAATGGGAACGTACGATGTGAAAATTAAAGACCTATATGGGTCATTTTCAAAAACTGTCGAATTTTGAAATTGAAAAATTTATTAAAAGTTACTTATTCAAACAACCCTCTACATAAGCAAATCAAAACAAACAGTACTTATAGAACAACATATTAAAAGATGCAATCTTAATAATGTCATACAAGAATATCTTGAAACATTTTTTGATAGGTGGTACAATATTTTGTCTCTCCTGTTACCATTTTCAAAAGAAATTTTGGGTTATTAAGAAAAGGTTTAGATAAAATGTTAAGCTTGTTTTTCGTAGCCAATTAGATGGTTTTCAAGAGAATAAACTTCTATATATATTCATTTTGTGAAATAATAGATTATTTGCAAATTTTCCAGGTTGTACTGAAAAATGCCTCTAAAAATTGGTTTTCAAAGGTTGTAAAAATTACCACCAGTAATGCAAGTCTAAGATAGCAATTCAAATTGTTCGGCATTTTTTCTCTCTTTCAAATAAACCCAACATCAAGTAAATCCCTCACATGTTAGTTTACTTTTGTCTTTATTTTATTGGTAACAGGAACGTACGTTAATGATATATCACTATATAAAGTTCTATCCTGTTACCTTTTTGTCTATCCTGTTACCGATATCAGTATTGCACCTGCAAATACTAAATTGGGAAGATTAAGACGTTATAACCTTAATATGAGTTCAAACAACAAAAGATTTCATTCTGTTTGCAACTATATGTTATGATAAACTTTTTAACGACGTTTCTGTCTACAATTGTCTATCCTGTTACTGTAACCATAGCAACCATAGTAACAGGATAGACATAACAGGATAGACAAATTTCTTCATTTTCGAATGCTGTTGTGAAATAACTACTCCCTTTGGTGAGGTGATAATGTTTTTCTGTTGTGAATTTGGTTTCCAACACGTTATTGCACTTTTTACAAGTATACTTTTGGTGTAATTAATCAAAATTGTTGGTAACAGCATAGACATGAAAAAAAGTACCCTCTATTTTTTTTCACTAAATGTCTTGAAATTTCTTTTCTCTACACTGTCGTTCAAGAAACGTGCTGTGTTAAATGTAAAGGTTACTTTGCACTTTTGAAATCAACACTGACTAATTCAATATTCATAGGGAGAATAATTTAACGGCTGATTTAAGTAGCGGTAACAGGATGGACATGAACTTCATGTACGCTGATTGAATTAAGTTTGTAGATAAAATGTTACATATAATGATAAAGAAGGTACGATTTTTCGTTAGAGTAATTATTAACGTTCTTAAAAAGTCCCTTTTGCAGATATCAAGGCAATCAGAAAATCGGAAAAAAATCATTTGAAATGTGTTTTTCTGAAACTGTACGCACACAAATTACCCAAAAATCGGACTTAAATACATTTTAATCTTATGAAAATAGATGTAAATCGTGTTTATTATTAATGTTCTGAATCATAAATCCTACAAGCTTTCATTTAAACAATTACAACTGAAATTTCCATAAGAAATAAAAAATTTAGCATGGGTGTACTGATAATTCGACATTTTTTGAAAATGACCCATATACAGAAGGATGTATTTTAATATGGCATTCATCAGAAAAGACAATATTTAATCATAAACCATGTAATTCCGTTGAGTTTCGTACAAGTACCAAAACATAAAAGATGGATGCTTGTAATGAGCTCATATTAGAACTAGGGAGTCCTCTGGAATTACCAATCTACATGTAACAAGACACATCATATGTGAGACTGAATTGAGGAAAAGACACCAGCCAGGAAACTGACATTCTATAAAGCATTCCAAAGAAAAGATGGCAAAGGGGGGAGAGCAATAAAACATGATACAAGCAAAATTAAGTGTTTCTTTGATTGTTTTATTTATGAACCTTAATTACAAGGGTCATAAAATAATCAAGGGGTTATATAGTACAATTGTATCCTAAGTTTCTGTTGAATTTAACTATATTTTGTACTTAATATATATATATCAACAGAAATATTCTTTAAATAATTTAAAATGTGCAAATCTTATTCCTCCGTTATATAAAAAAAATGAAGTGGTGCTTGCAGGCAATATTTTATGAAAAATTGTTTTCAAATTCACCAAAAACTTGCTACATAGCAAGAATACGCCATGTTTGCCAGCTTTTACATAAATAAAAAAAAACTTAAATCTCACTGGTACATCCATATGAAATAAAGTCTGCTGCTGCCAAAAATCAAGATTACAAACTATGTTTCTAAAAGTAGATTACAACAATACTGAACTCTGAAAAATTTTAAAAAGCGGGGAAATTTCATAAACATCTGGCAAAACCAAACGCTAAAGCACATCAAATAGCAGAACGAATGGAAAACAACCGTCATATTCTTAACTTGGTAAAGGCATTATCTTAATTGTCTCATAATAATCCTCCCAGTTTTTTCAAGTATTCTTACTCTGAAAGGAAAATATGAAAGAAAAATCATTTGCAACTTTACAAATTATCGGCATGAAAATGATTGACATTTTTGTCACAGACTTCATATGTTTATTTGACAATAAAGATTATTATATTAAAACAATTGTTATGATAAATAAAAGAAATTCTAGTTATGATAAAAAAAAAAAAAAGGAGACGAGACATTGTTTTATGTTAATTACAATACATTGCTTAACATATGGAATCATTAATGTCAACATGTTTTAAGCAATAACAAAATACCAAAAATGATCAGTATTGAAGATTCTTATCTTGTTAGATATATGTATAAATTGGGCGGTTTTATACACATTGATATTGTAAAATATCAGCCTCGAACCACAATGTAAATCTCTCTGGTGTCGATTGCGTATTTTTTTTTAAACACAGAAAGACAGTCGCAATCAAAATCAAGGAGTAAACAAAGACTCATAAAACCAAAGTGCATTTACAACAACAGTTAAAATACATAAAAAGAAACAACACCAACTCGACTAAAAACCGGGAATGAATTCATGTGCTTCTAAAGGGTAAACAATTCCCTAGAGAAAATCCGATAAACTGCTTATCTTGCTTCATTTTTGTTGTTTTTCCCTTCACTTCAATAGTTTTTTGATAGACGAAAGTAAGCTTGATACTTTTCCTCAGTCATTTTCACGTCGCTAAAAAGTCCTGCTCAGCAGAGTGATATAGTCGAAGAGAAAAACCATAAGTTTTTATATGTAGCCAGCTAAACAAGGATTATAATAATATAGTCACGGAATTATCCAACCTATTTTTGGATACCAATTGTACTCAGATGCACATGTGTCAAAATTTCTCTAATAATAGAGGTCAACACTGAATCAGCGATGTCTACACAAGATACAAAATATAAAAAAAATAAAAAAGAGTCATCAACATGTCACAATATACCATACTATACTTACTTAGTTTATAAGTTTTCAATTCCCAATATTTTTTGAAACAAAATGCATTCAGATTAAAAAGATAAACCACACCAAATCGACTGCTACAGCTATACCTAAAGAAACAACTATTTTTGATACATATGGATAAGGTGCGCACTAAAAAGTAAGTATTTATTAAAAAAGTAAATGACAAACATCAGTACAATAATAGTACTAATAAAATCGGTACAATTACAATACTGACAAATTAAGTACTGAAACATTACTGACAAAATCAGTACAGAAACATTACTGACAAAATCAGTACTGAAACATTACTGACGAAGTCAGTACTGAACTAGTACTGAAACAATACTGACAAAATCAGTACTGAAACAGTACTGTCAAAATCAGTACTGAAACAGTACTGACGAAATCAGTACTGAAACAGTACTGACGAAATCAGTACTGAAACAGTTCTGAAAAAAACAGTACTGAATTTATAGAATTAGTTACGGTACAGTTATTGTATAATAATGAACAGTACTGAATTAATAGGAAGTATAACATTACAAGTTTTTAGTCTTGCCGAACAGTACTGATATGTACGAGGGTAGAAATGTACCAAAAAAACGTGGGTAAATTCTTGGTAGTGTAGTATTGATACGCTTGTAATCCTCGATGTTGCATTGGACCAAGGTATCAGGGGAACTAGCTGACTAATGACGTATACTTTTCACTTTTACATTTCTCTCTTACATTGTTGGGTTGTTGACGACGATGTTTGCCAAGATTTTATATAACATCTTATATGTCCCAAGAATAACTGAGTCTATTGTAAAGTTACATTTTTAATTCCATTTCAATATAGTAAAATATTTTTATAATCTATTAATATGTGTGTATACAAACTCCTAGCATAAATATTTCTTTCTGAATTCCCACGATCGCAACTTTAAACCTTTCAACTCTGACACGTGTTTGCAATCATTTCTCACTCCTATCTAGATCTTACCAACTTTACTCTAATGTTCACTCGCCACAGTATGGACGTAGTAAGATCGAAATGGGCGTAGAAGCATCGTATTGGAAACGTGGTGCAATTGGGGAAAAATGGAAAATATTTCGCTGCGACCTTACTGCGATTTCACTGCGACTATCCCGATTTCACTACGTCTTTATTACGCTTCTACTACGATATTGATACGATTATACTACGATGAGGAAGACAATAATACGCTGCTGCTATGCGCTTTTCGTCCTCAGTACGACCTCACTACGATACTACTACGTCCTAGCCACGATAGTTGCACGATCTCATTCTGTTGATACCTCTACGTTTAGCACCACGACCTCTAATTGTTTTTGATACCTTTGGTGGATGCTTTCTCAAGGAAACTGGTGTGTACAATTGGAAAGTCAAGATATTTATAGGGACAAAGAGCTTAGTGACAACGTAGTGGAAACCTAGTGGAGTCGTAGTTCGATCGTAGTAGACACGTATTGAGATCGTAATGCGATTGGTAAGGTCTTGGTAGAAGCGTACAGAGATCGTGTAAGTCGTGGTAAGGTCTTATTAGACGTAGCAAGAGCGAGACAAGATCGTAACTAGAACGTGTTACTGTCGTAGCGGAATCGTAGCAGGATCTTATCAGGATCATAGCAAGGTCGTGGTATGAACGTGAAAACTATGAAATATTGAATAGTCAAGCCGACAATACCACGATCTCACCGCGATCTTATTTTTTTATAGATCGTAGTGGGATCTTCATGGTCTTGGTCTAGTGTGATGGGGCTTAACATATTTGTTTTTCGTTCATTATTTTGTACATAAATTAGGCCGTTAGTTTTCTCGTTTGAATTGTTTTACATTTGTCATTTCAGGGCCTTTTATAGCTGACTGTGCGGTATGGGTTTTGCTCATTGTTGAAGGCCGTACGGTGACATATAGTTGTTAATTTCTGTGTCATTTGGTCTCTTGTGGAGAGTTGTCTCATTGGCAATCATACCACATCTTCTTATTTCTATATTCAACATGTTTGTTAGACACTTCAATTCTAGGAAGTCAAATTATACAAATGTTTTTGAACATTACATAACAAAGGCATGAATAGAGCAACAGGAAATTGTCGAGTCAGTTTTGTTTAAGTATGTTGTAACTTCAGTTTTATCTATATTATATAATTTATAAATAGACAAAATCATATTTGATGAAAAAGTGCTACTTAAATAATGTCAGTACCAAATCACTAGCCACTCGGTGGGTTGTACCTGCGACATTCCGCCAGCAGCGGTACCGACACAGTGGTAGTAGTACTCTGAGCATCAGTTACGATGCAGGCCAAAAATGGTTTTGGATAAAGGAAAAAGTTTCAAAATGGTTGAAACATGAGTCAACTTTGACTGTCGGAGTTGTATATCAAATTAATGCAAAATGTTTATTCATTGTAGCTTATAGACTGATAATTTTCTACTGTAATTTTAATTTAAATCATACTTATACCAAAGAAGTTTATGAATGGTTGCCGTATGACTTGGCAGCGGAGTGTTACATTTAGAAATATGAAAGTTATTCCTCTCTCATGTGCCCATTTTTGGAGATCTCTTAAAAACAATACTCCTGGGACCGGTTTTTACTCAATTTTCAAATAAGAACACAATGCCTTTACGAAAATATGTATCTTGGATGTTTGTAACAATCCTAAACGTTATTATCATTTTACGATTTACCTCCCTTTCTTGTGTCATGTAGAAATTAAAAGAACTCCTGTATTTGTTTCGAGATGATGCGTCTTTTGTTGATATTATCGTTAACAGTAGTGGCAGGTCAAAGTACGATCACTGTTAATACCAGACTAGGTAAACTTACAGGTGTATCATCGGTCAATGATGGAAATACAAGTTATCAACTGAGAATATACAGAAATATACCCTATGCTTAACCTCCAGTTGGCCAGCTTAGATTTATGGAGCCCGTGCCCTACGGGAAGTGGTCCGAAAATCTAGATGCTTTACAATTTGGACCATCGTGCAATCAGTTACCATCTCCGTCAGACAACACATTTCTTCCAAATTTAAATCAATCCGAAGATTGTTTACAGTTAAATATTTATGCACCTGTTAACGCTTCGTCTTCAAATAAAAAGTCGGTTATGATCTGGATTCATGGTGGAGGTTATTCGAGTGGAAAAGCGATGCTTTGCGATGCGTCTTATCTCTCTGCGCTTGGTGATGTAGTTATAGTAACAGTAAATTACCGTTTACCTATATTAAGATTTTTTAGCACATCTGACAGTGTCGCACCTGGTAATTATGGTCTTTGGGATCAAAAAGCTTGCTATTCAATGGGTTCATGATAATATCGATCAATACGGAGGTGATCCGAATGCTGTTACTATCTTTGGGGAATCAGCTGGAGGTTTTAGTGTTGCATTACAGGCCATAAATCCAACTATTTCAAAGAGTTATTGCACAAAGTGGTGTTAGCAATACGTTGTTGGCTACATCACCAATTCCTCGACTAACGGCAAAAGCACTTGCAAATGATTTGGACTGTTCTGATGCATTGACGAGTGATACTATGTCTTGTCTGCGGAATAAATCTGTCGATGAAATTAGAGGTTCATTACTTACACTTACGAAACAATTTTATTTGACACCTGATATACATATTTACATTGCATTTGCTCCTGTTGTTGATAATAAATTCCTGATTGACACACCACAAAATATAATATATAAGTGGAAAAGGCCCCGGATTTGAGTTTTACAAATCATTAGATGTGATAATAGGAAACTGTGAATCAGAAGGTTCATTACTAGTAATTAAGTACCATGCGGAGAAGAAATTATGGGAATTTGAAAAATGGCATTCCATCGAAATTTTGTGTAAAAATATAATACCTACACTTTCAGTTGACTACTTTAAGAATAATACTGAAATTATCAAACCTATATGTGACCAGTATAAGGTCAATGGACCAATGAAGGATCAAAGTATGAGTGCTGTGAACTATTATGGGGACATTTTTATGTATAGTCCAGCAGTGCAAACACTTCAGGTCCACGCAGCACAAAGAAATCGTAATCATTTTCAATATATTAGTAGGCGCTCTCCTATGTGGTCAGTGTCTCACCGATATGCTCCATGGTTTGTAGGGTGAGGCCATGCATCAGAAATACCGTTCATGTTTCCATTTAAATCGTTGTTTAATGCTACTGAAGATGACAAAAAATACAGTGTTACTATGATGAAGTATTGGTCTAACTTCGCCAAAACAGGGTACGTATATTGTCTGCTTCTTTTCCAGTCGCTTGTATTAATCAGGGTCGTTAATTTAGTAAAATGTATATACCTTATATATAACCAGAACCTGTTAGGGGACAGCAGAAAATTAGACTTGATTTGACCTAATTTTTTTAATGTTGGTTTCCTATCTATATTCCTGCACTGTGTTATAGAAACTAGATTAATTTACAACATATATAACATATATAAATGTAACAGTATAAATTGGGATTCAGTAGGATCCAGAATCTTCCTAGTACTAATCATAATTCCTATTTCTTTTAAGAGTAGAAATTGGGATATCTAGATTTGTACTAGAGGATCATTACTTAAAAAGACGCAATAAAAACATTATTTAATTTACTTCATGATGCAATAAAAGTCTAATTAAAACTTGTCTAAATAAAGAAAAAATAGAAAAAGCTATGACCAATTTCCACTGAATTTATTTCACAACAGAGCCTTTTTCTGAAAGCCCTTCAATCTTTACTTAAAATTCACAGTACACTGAATTGTGTTCATATGTTTACTTTAAGGTACATGTATTAACTGACAGCACTTTGGTTTTTTTACGAATATATGATAACACCAAAGATACTCAAATATGATTGAAACTTTAAATCTAGCAAATTTTGAGTAATTATCAAAAAAAAAATATTGCATAAGAACAGACATTCTTAACCAAAACCCAAAAAGTATTGTTTATATTGTCTTTTAGAAACGAATTATTTCAACTAAGCTATAGCAGGTGGGATCATCGGATATATTGTTTGAACAAGACACTTCAATAATAACTGTGACTAAGTTTGGTTGGCCAAGTAGTTTTATAGAAGATGTTTTATAAAAGTTTACGGACAACGACAACGGATGACGGACGCAAAGTGATGAGAATAGCTCATTTGGTTCTGTAGGCCAGGTGAGCTAATAAGGTGATGTGATGTGATTGCCAATGAGACAACTTTCAGGATCAGACCAAAATGACATGAATGTAAGCAACTTTTAATATTCACTGCAAACAACGATACAATCGTGACAATGTTATCTGCTTCGTTAGCTCTTCGAAATACAAAACACATTTTTGAGAGACTTATCAATAAATTTGATTTTCAGTTTTGATAGTTTTTAGAACGATTCTGTATGAAGTTACTTTTTATATAGAATTTCGTCAATATTCATACATGTTTTGAATTAATATTCATTCCCATGATGTATAAGTTGTCTAAACTTGCATCAGAAGTTGCAGTTAGATAAATGGACCTGCTGATAACTTTATGACACATTTGCAAATAAATTAAAGAGGCGGGTGATACTTCAGGAACTTTTCAAGACAATTCATAATCTTCACGGTTTTTGACAATGATAAAGTCCCTTGTGTAAAACTATGGTTCTAGGCTAGGGGAAGACAGAGCGCTCCTTGGCACGTTTAAACCTGTCACATTTTGTGTCTGCCTTGCATCAAGTCAGGAGCCTGTAACTTATTTGTTTTTTCCTCGTTTGTTGTTTTATATTCTGTCAAACCGTTGGTTTTCTCGTTTGAATTATTTTACATTTTGTCATATCTAGGTATTTTATAGCTTATTATACGGTATAGGTTTTGCTCATCGTTGAAGGCCATATAGTCATAGATTGTTGCTTGCATACACGTAATTTGTTTCTGGCGAATAGTTGTCTCATTGGCAATCATACCACATCTCCTTATTTTAATATAGATTTTATCTAAACTTCATTCATTTTTAAGATTACGGACCCAGGAGGATTGTTTTAAAATAGAAATCTTTAAAAATTATAATTCTGTTACACTTCATTAAAATAAATAAAACATCTGTTATCTGACCTTAGAGGTCTGTACAGTACATGACACATCTTCTTAAGTGATACACACCTGTGCCAAATATTAAGGGCTTATGGTAGCAATATACAGTTATGAAAAAGCATCTTCCCAATTTCCACATTTTATGATTTTTATGCCAACATGTAACCTTGCTAGAAATATAAATGTATAGATAAATAAATATAAATTTATTGGCATAAAAAACAAGGCATTCAGTTCTGAGGCTATTTCATAGATTTCAATCCTTCGGTAACAGAGATTAAAATTGCAAAAAGCAAATAATTTCCACATAGGCGACAATAGAAAGTAGAAAAGACTTCTCAGTTCCGTTCGGGCTAAAAAAATATATTGTTTTGCCTTCGGTATAATACAGAGTGCAAGAAGTGTATAGTAATAAAGATACCGACTGCACACATCGACCAATCAGGATTAGCCATACTCTTATTTCTGAATACTATGTTATCTTCATAAAATGGCTGCGCCCTTAATATTTAATTGTTGATTGTAACCTATGAGGTATTCAAAATTTTCTAAAATCATGCAACTTATGATGCATTAGATGCACACACATATATGCCACAAATATATCAACCTCAGAACGTTTTCTCATTACTCTTTGTATTTTAACGTTTTTTTATCAGAAGTGACCCCAGTCTAAACATGGAATATTGTTTCCCCTGATTTTTAGAGTAAATGTGGTACTGTTAAAAAGGATCAGAAGATAATAAAATTGAGAATGGAAATGGGGAATGTGTCAAAGAGACAACAACTCGACCATAGAACAGACAACAGCCGAAGGCCACCAATGGGTCTTCAATGCAGCGAGAAACTCCCGCACCCGGAGGCGTCCTTCAGTTGGCCCCTAAACAAATATGTATACTAGTTCAGTGATAATGGGCGTCATACTAAACTCCAAATTATACACAAGAAACTAAAATTAAAAATGATACAAGACTAACAAAGGCCAGAGGCTCCTGACTTGGGACAGGCGCAAAAATGCGGCGGGGTTAAACATGTTTTTTGAGATCTCAACCCTCCCCCTATACCTCTAGCCAATGTAGAAAAAACAAACGTACAACAGTACGCACAGTAAAACTCAGTTTAAGAGAAGTCCGAGTCCGATGTCTATTTACTCCATACTCTTTATATATTCTGTTTCACATTCAATGTTTACTATATGTTTTTATAATCACCCGGAACAAATCGTACTGGACCGATTTCTTACATCACCGTTTTTATTGTACTACGTAAAGGATTTAATTTCTGTGACACCGTCTTCACAAGTATTTCAACACATGTTAAATGGACGACAATTAACTTTCAGAGGAAATCGAGACATACCACTGTCAAGTACGTTTGATTTATTCATAAACTGTGATAATTAAATATGTTTAACTGCGTCAATTTGGATAAGTGATTTATTAAATGCATACAAACTGTAAGTTATTTATATCCGAGAAATGAACTGTAAATTCTACTTTCGTTTTGGACTCGATTATTAATATTGCTTTTAACGTTCATATTTCATTCGTACACATTGTAAAATATTGTATTTTTATTTCTTTCAGTTTACCAAACAATACTGACTACTGTAAAAAACCTTTCTGGTGGAATATCATATTACAATTTTCAAAATAAGTTGTGTTCATTATATATTCGCCGAGATTGCGATTCAGTCACCTGGTTAAACTTGCTGAGTCAGGCTCAGCATATTATAGTTCATCAAGTACTGATTATATTGATACCAAAACCGATCCAACATGTAAATGTTACGCTGAATTTTGAACAATTTCAAAAGAAACAATTTTCTTATAAAAGTACATTTTTGAAACAGACTATAAAATATCAAAAATGTGGAAATATTTGTATTTTAACATTGAAAACTATTCTTTGAATTCAAAATGTTTACAATGGTTTTGATCGAAAAGAAAAAGAAATTAGTGTCAATTAATTCTAAAATTCGAGACATTAGTTTGTTTACATTTTCTTGTGGTGTTTAATGGGTATGTATTGTAATAGAAAAATGTAGTTTATTTTATTTCGTATAGTTTATTAGTTAATGTATGTAAGTTCTACTCTGTAAACTATTTTATATAAAATTATTGTTTAACTGTTCTATACATTTTCAAAGCGTAGGATATTTCAAATATGTCAAATAAATACTTTAACAAACTATTGAACGTATCCGTGCAATAAAACTTCAGCTGTGGCCAAATGGACCTTCGATCATATGTCCAGCAAAGTGTAATAAAACATCTTAAAAGTTCAGACAACGGTCAACCCACGTCAGCAACTTTATTTGTGTGAAGCTATAAAGCACAAACTAGTTCCATAGTTACTTTTGATTAAGATCTAAATTAATATTTATAATGTTATTTTATACTATGTTATATATATTTATGTTGTAATTGTTTTATATTATAGTTAGGGAAATGTTAATAAATATTTTCGAAACATAGGTTGGCAATTTTAGAATAAAAAAATGAAGAGATGAAAGAAAAACCAGTTTTATGTGACGTGTAATTTCGACCTGGTCTTAGACCATTACTATATTTGAGCATTCTAAATTTTATTGATAACTCATAAATCATAAATTCTTTTGTTGGTTATAGTCAGATAAGGGTTACTAGGACATTCAAAACTTAGTATATAAACTGATCAAGCCGCTATAATATTAATAGCGAGTTTTTTGATATTCTAGGTGAGTCTCTTGGTTTTGAAAATAATTTAGATTTAAAATTATATTTTCTTTTAATTTTATTTTGAAAAAAAAAATAAAGTTTATAAGTAACTAATATTTTAATTCAGAGGTTTATTTTAACAGTAATTATTATTGTTATTATTTGATATTTAATTTGAATTGTTTGTAGTATTTTATTGTTGTTTTCAATTTATTTTGACATTCAAACTTTGTACTTTGAAATTATATTGTAATTATTTCTTTATTAAATTAATAGCGAGTTTCTTGATATTCTAGTTTGGTTTTCTTTCCCGTTGCTGTTTCCGGCCTCCTACCGTGAGCCTCCCCCTAGATTGTGCCACAGTGCTTTACAATTGTCGGGATATAAAAACATCAAAAATACCAACACAATATAATGGTAGAGGACCATGTTTAGCAACGAAAAGAAAACAGCTAAACCAGGAAAGACACCTGACAACTACAAGAAACAACTACACACCAAACTAGACTCTGCGTTTGAAGGTTTGGATATCTTTGCAGACCAACAGGAAGACGTCATCAGTTTTAAGAAGGGCTATCCAATTGCAAATCCAGTTGCCAATTGTGACAACGATACTACTATTCCTTACGTGAACGACCAGCCTTTTTCTCAGTCGTCGCCTATACATCAACAATCCAATCCTTCGTTTCATCGTGGACAGGGCAGCCAACTCTTCCATCGAGTATCACACCCGTACGACCATCTATTATACACAGGCCATTGATTCCTTCCACTCTTTCAAAAATACCGGCATCTGTTGCAGGAAATTTGCGGTTGCAGACACCTCAGCATTTTGCTGCGTTGTATCCTAAGTTGCCAACAACTGCAACCGCCACAACATCTATCACCACTGCTGCAGCAAGTGTCTCAACTGCAACAACTACATCAGTTACGACAACCGCAACGACAGGAGCAGGAGTAGGAGCAGGAACAACAACCACAACATTACCATCAACTACGACAAATTCTTCAGGTAGGACAGTGCAACCTTCTATGAACATTTTTAACATGTCTTCAATTTTGAAAATTGAAAAATTTAGAGGTGACAATACTCAAAATCCTGAAACTTGGTTAAATAATTTTAATCAATATTGTAGTTTTTATGATTTGTCCAAGAAAAAGAGTGCAGAGTCATTTCCCTTTCATTTGGAAGGTCATGCCAAAATTTGGTATGACACGGTGTCTGATGCAAAGAAACAGCATTTTGATTTTTTGATCGCTGCTTTCAAAGATCGTTTTAAAGATAAACAACATCTTTTGGACATTACAATCTTACAAACACACCAACGAAGAAATGAGTCTATACTTGATTTCTTATCTAGGTTATTAAAATTAGCTACTAACAGAAATATATCGGATGATATATTGCTAGCCGTAGCAATGAATGGTTTAAAGGCTGATTTGAAAACAAAAGTCATGACAAAAGAACCTAAAAATATTGAAGAATTTAGGCATGCCGCAAATTTGGCAGAAAAAGCTATTGATTCTAACGTAAATTCTGTAAATTCCATGAATCAAACTGTTTTAGACGAAATTCATTCATTAAGGGAACATATCCAATCTATTAATGTGAATAGCACAATTCCAGTTACTACCCAAGATCAGTCTTATCAACCTTCTCAACAACCTGTTTATGTACAACAGCCAGTTTATTATACCCCAAAAGCACCAAATCATACTATGTATCCATCAAATAGGTACAGGGCACCACAAAATCAACCGCCACGTCAAAATTTTAAAAGGATGCCTCCTCGCCACCCGACCAATCAAAATTTTCGACAACCGATTCGATATCAAAATCAGTTGCAAATGTTATCTCGTAGATGTTTGTACTGCAATGGGTTTTCTCATAATAGGGCCCAATGCCCCGCCAGCGGTGTCAATTGCCATCTTTGTAACAAAATGAGACATTTTTCTAAAGCTTGTCTATCTACTAGAAGAATGCAAACACAATAGCAATCCAGGCCTGTTCGAATTTCTACTTTTGACAGGCATACAAAGTTAAACAAGGTTAAAAACAATTGTTCAAATCGTGAAAATTCAAATCCGAAATCAAAACAATTTGTTACAGATATGCATCAATGTCTTTTCTCAGTAAATTTTGGCGGTATTAAAATTAAAGCGCTTCTGGACACTGGTTCAACAATATCTGCTATCAATGAAAATACATTCTTGAAAACATAATTTCCAAGCAATCGTTTATTACATTCAGACATTAAACAAATAGTTGGAGCAGGTGGAGCTACTTACCCAGTAAAAGGTCAAATTGAATTAAATTTTGAAATAAGTGGAGTAGTCCTTTCTCAAAATTTTTATATTATACCAGCTTTAAGACATTCTATGATATTAGGAACAGATTTTTGCAAAGAAAAAAGTGTATGTTTAAACTGGAACACTAATTAATTATCTTTAATTAAAGATTCAGTTACAATCAATGTAATAAGAGTAACACCAGGTTTTGCTAGGGTTTATAGGAAATCAACAATTCCTCCAAATACAATTATGAATGTTTGCGTTAGATTGTCTCAGGCTTTGCCGCATCACAATTACTTATTAGAACCACTCAAAAATTTAAAGTACAATTTTCTAACAACTAGATGTCTAATCAAAAATCGGGACAACAAATGTTACCTACAAATTTTAAATCCCACAAATGAGGTCATAACTTTAAAGTCCGGTTTGATTTTACAATATATGCGTATTTTGTTTCAAACTTGCGTTATTAAAGCGTAATTAAATAGTTTTCAAAATCATTTATATATTTGTATATTTGTATATTTGTATATTTTATTTTAATTTATTTATTTTCCTACTGAAGGGAAACAAATGGAGATGGATTACCTGTGTGGAAGCAATACGACCTTGTAACGAGATCATATTTATTCTTTTAGATGTCAATGTTACAAGCCAACAGAATTTATACAAAGACAGAATTGACTTTTGGCTGCAAACAATTCCAAATATACTGAACACAACAAAGACCACCACATCTGCATTAGCTTTTCAACAACAAGTAGTTCAGAAGGAATGTCAACACAACAAAGCACGCCATCATTGAACTTGAACCAACCACCAAAACAGGCAATGGTGGTCAAAGTTGTATCCCGCAAATGTTCTATTTAGTTATAGCCTTCTTTTCTTCTTTTTTTAAACTTTATAATTGAATGTTAAGAACGTCACATTTTTTTTACATGTTTGACGATTTTAATATAAAATTTCAAAATACTCAACAAGAAACAAAACAAACAAAAAAAACCCAAGGTTGTTATTTTCATACAAAAATGTAGTTTTGTATACGAACCGTCATTGGTCATGTCATATGAATTAGGTCTGATATTGTTTCGTCTTTTTTAACTTTTTGTGCCATAAACGAGAGAATAAGAGTTTGGTCGCAGGTGGTAAAAGATAAAACCCAATATTGATAGACTTATTAATAAGATGAAAACTTTAACTAGAGTTTCCAAGGAATCATATATCGCTCACCTTGTTTGTTTCATAAAATTGACACAATGCAATAAGAATAGTTCCGTATGTCATTGACAAAAAGGGATTTAAATAAACTTTCAAGGGAAATAACTCCAATAAGGAGTCGACTGATGATTTCGGTCATGTTGACGTAAATAATCATTATATTTTGTTGATCTTTTTTTATTTAAATCCTAGACTAGAATATAATTCATGACTAAAATATCTTTTGTTGACCATTTGTTTACAGTTTCTCTTTTTATAACAGATACTTATTTATTATTCAACGTTCATAAATCAGGAAACTAAGGTTATAAAAAACTCAGTCAAAGTCGCCGAATTTGGCTATTTCGTTTATGTACTATTTGATCTTACCGCTAAGAACATTGCAGCGTATTTAAGCATCCCTGCCTTTCAAATGTTTAGGTGTTAACGTTTTTGATGAAGATAGATCTATAAAAGCGCTTCGGACGCACTGAATTTCAAAGGTGGACTTTTTTATTTACTTTCCTTTGTTAATCATATTTGTATTTGTTTACACTTTCTCTTTTTACAACAGATACTTATTTATTATTCCCCGTTCTTAAATTAGGAATTGATGAGGAAATTAAGGTACCAAAAAACTCAGTCAACTTTGACCTTAAACGAATTTGGCTATTTCGTTTATGTACTTTTTGATATTACCGCTTAGAACGTAGCAACGTATTTACGTATCCCTGCCTTTCAAATGTTTAGATTTTAGCGTTCTTGATTCGTTTGATGTGTTTGAGCTTTTGATTTTGCCATTTGATTAGGGACTTTCCTTTTTGAATTTTCCTCGGAGTTCAGTATTTTTGTGATTTTTGATAAAGGTACATCTATAAAAGCGCTTAGGACGCACTAAATTTCAAAGGTGGTCTTTTTTATTTACTAGGACTGGGTCGATGTTGCTGTAGGTGGACTGTTAGTCCCCGAGGTTAATGTCATCAGATCAGTAATCAGTGCTTCGGTACAGCAATGAGTAATAACATATAATCATTTATTATTCTCCGTTCATATATTAAGAAGTTTTTAAGAAACTGCATTTACGTATCCCTGGCTTTCAGATGTTTAGGCTTGGGCGTTCTTGGTGGAGGCTAACACAGAAAAGTGCTTCGGACGCACTAGATTATAAAGGTGTTTTACTAGCACTGCTTCGATACCACTGCTGGTTAACTGTTAGCCCCTGCGGGTATCATCAGCTCAGTAGTCAGTGCTCCGGTACTGACATGATTTATAACATATACTTATTTAAAATTCCCAATATATAAAATGTGAAAGTTTTAAGAAACAAAGGTTCCAACAGACTCAGTCAAAGTTTACCTTAGACGAATTAAAATGTTATTAAATCTATGTATTAGATGTTGTTTCGATGGGTCTTTGCTGATTTTAGTCATAGATTGTAACTCATAACAATACAGAAACAGGTCCGCAATAAGTGGTGCACAGTTAGTTCCCATTGGAATTCCGATAACTTGACGATATGCGGAATCTCCATAGCGAACAAAACTAGTAAAAATTCAATGGCAGCTATCGTATCAAAGCAGGTCCAATTGACATAGTTCTTTGTTTGTTGTTACTAAAAAATGACCTAAAAGAGTTTGAACATATATATTCGCATTCTGACTTTTTAAATGCACATTTAATTAGGTGTGTGAATTTTTTCTTAATAAGATTATGAGGCAAAGTGGTACATAGGGTAGAAAAATCAAAACATTGAACAGATTCGAAATCACCAATATAAGCATGCAATTTATCAAGTACTTCCAAAAAGTTTTTGACACTCCAAAAGTAATTAATTCCACTATTTTCAAAGGCCTTATTTGAACAATTTATTACCAGGTTTTTGATTGTACCAAGTGTACTTGTAAGTAGAATAGACAGTTTAGTAGTAGAACAATGGCTTGAAGATGAAATAAATTTATATTTGTAAGGTTTTTGTGCAGCTTCAGTACATAGTTTGAACTTTCATTGTATTTGGTTCTGCTTATAAAGAGGTAGCTAAACGTTTATGTTTGTTACAGATGTCATTTTTCGAAAATGGAGTCAGTTGGAATGTTGATGAATTCGTGATTTCCTTTTGCAGAACCTCAATGTAAAATTTATGTCAAACAATAATGATATTATTAGCAGCCTTATCAGCCGGGACAAAAACAAATTCCTTGGCGAGTTCTTTTAGCTTATGTTTAATACGAGAAATAGGGCTATTATGGTTGTTGTTAGGAGTAAAGTGTTCTTTAAAAAGTTTAATACGAATATCATCTATGTTCATTACGGAACTAAAAAAAGAATCTAAGGATTTTTTGTCAGCTTTTTCTCGATTTATCCATTTCGAGCAGTAAGTACGGAGTGAATTGTGGATGATTTTATGACAGTCATTCCAATTAATAATTGACGGGGGACGATATTTAGGTCCTTTACTAAGGAATGGTTTCACCTCTCGGTCATGAAAGATGTTAAGGTCTCCTGTTATAACATGGGAACTGGGGCCATAAATGTATTTGGAATTACTGCAATTTCATTACGTAGATATTTACATCTTTACACACTTTGCTATAATTAAACACAGCCTCTTTTTCCAGTTGCAGTCAGAATTTACCCGACCTTTATCTTGGATGGCCTCTATTACAGGACCTAATTTTTGCATTTATTGTTATTTTTTTCTCATCCTGAACATGAGATATTTGCCACTGGACGTTAGGCAAACTATAATCAATGAATCACAAAAATTGGCCAAAATCATCTTTCAAGGGCAATAATTCTTATGCAGAGTGGATTGACAATATCAGCTTTGTTGTCTTAGTTGTTGATCGTGTCTTGCTGATCTTTTTACTGTTAAAACTTTCCATCTCTGTAGCTTCTGCTCAAAACATTAAGTCGTCATTTAAGTTCATATCGATAACTTCAACTATGTTGACATTTTTGTAGATCTTGTCTCGCTGATCATATTTGCACAGTAGTTTTTTATAATCTACCATTTTTTTTTCCCAAAAAAACAAAAATAGGTTAGAATCATCATTAAAGGGCAAAAAGGATTTGACTGACAATTTCTGCTGATCATTTATGCTTTTTACTGTTTTCTTTATCTACCAAAGTTTTTTTAATGCATAAGGAGTTGACTGACAATTTCTGTCAAATTTGTAGATCTTGTCCTGTTGCTCATTTTTATACGACCGCAAAAAAATTTTGTGGTCGTATATTGGTATGACGTTGGCGTCGTCGTCGTCGTCGTCGTCCAGCGTCGTCGTCCGAAGACACATTGGTTTTCGCACTCTAACTTTAGTTTAAGTGAATGGATCTTTTTGAAATTTGACCATAAGGTTAAATACCACAAAAGGAAGGTTGGGATTGATTTTGAGGGTGATGGTACCAACAGTTAAGGAATTAGGGGCCAAAAAGGGGCCAAAAATAAGCATTTTCTAGTTTCCAGACAATAACTGTGGAACAGTGTATGGATCTCTCTGAAATTATACTACAAGTTTCCATACCACAAAGGGATGGTTAGGATTTGCTTTGGGGGGTTATGGCTCAAACCGTTTAGGAATTAGGGGCAAAAAAGGGGGAAAAACAAGGTTGTCCTGGTTAATGGACAAATACTTTAGTACAAAACATAATTTAAAGCAGTGTAAGGGAGATAAATCAAATACATCATTGAAATTATCTCCCTTACACTGCTTTTAAATTATGTATAAAGTAATGGTTAATGAACAATAAAGATAATTTAAAACAGTGTAAGGGAGGTAATCCGTTTTGGTTACTTCCCTTACACTGCTTTTAAATTATGTTTAAAGAAATGCATATTTATAAAGGAAGACCAGTAAAAATATCTACAAATGTTGCGTCTTTTTTTTTTACAAAAAAATCCATATGAAAGATTTGACACTATATTTTTAATTCTATTATAAAATAGATTAAGTTAGCACTATGGTAAATTTAAATGGGTAATTATGGTTGCCAACTCCATTGGAAATTTGAATTGAGATTATGACCATATCTTGAGGGAAAGAATTTTTTGGGGGAAAAGGGGGGGGGGATAAAAAGAAATTGTGGGGGGTCAATTTTTTCTCATTTCAGATTTCAGAAATTAAAAAGAATTATTCTTCAAATATTTTTTTTTTTCAAATTTCAAATATTGAAAAATTTCAAGAAGTAATCTTTAATTGCACAGTATGGCGCATTAAATTTGTAAAATCTTTGATCACATTTATTTATTTGTTATGCCGAATCTAACAGTGTATTTAGATTTATAATTTTGGGTCCAGTTTTCAAATTGGTCTACATTAAGGTCCAAAGGGTCCAAAATTAAACTTTGTTTGATTTTAGCAAAAATTGAATATATGAGGTTCTTTGATATGCTGAATCTAAACATGTATTTAGATTTTTGATTTTTGGCCCAGTTTTCAAGTTGGTCCAAATGGGGGTCCAAAATTAAACTTTTTTTGATTTCAACAAAAATTGAATATATGGGGTTCTTTGATATGCTGAATCTAACCATGTATTTAGATTTTTTATTTGTGGACCCTGTTATCAAATTGGTTCATATTGAGGTCAAAAGGGTCCAAAATTAAACTTCGTTTGATTTCATCTAAAATTGAATTATTGGGGTTCTTTGATATTCCAAATCTAACCGTGTATTTAGATTTTTAATTTTGGGTCCTGTTTTTTAAATTGGTCTACATTAAGGTCCAAAGGGTCCAATATTAAACTTAGTTTGATTTTAACAAAAATTGAATTCTTGGGGTTCTTTGATATGCTGAATCTAAACATGTGTTTAGATTTTAGATTATGGGCCCAGTTTTCAAGTTGGTCCAAGATAGGGTCCAGTATTTAAACTTTGTTTGAATTCAACAAAAATACATGTATTTAGATTTTTGATTATGGGCCCAGTTTTCAAGTTGGTCCAAATTGGGGTCCAAAATTAAACTTTGTTTGATTTCAACAAACATTGAATATATGAGGTTCTTTGATATACTGAATCTAACCATGTATTTAGATTTTTTATTTGTGGGCCCCGCTATCAAATTGGTTTATATTGAGGTCAGTAGGGTCCAAAATTAAACTTCGTTTGATTTCATCTAAAATTGAATTATTGGGGTTCTTTGATATTCCAAATCTAACCGTGTTTTCAGATTTTTAATTTGGGTCCCGTTTTTTAAATTGGTCTTCATTGAGGTCCAAAGGGTCCAAAATTAAACTTAGTTTGATTTTAGCAAAAATTGAATATA